GTCAGTGGCACCAGGCTTGAGCTTGATTTGTATCCATTCAAGGCATGGCATAATCCCAGAGACTAAAAGAGCTAGAGATTTGAAACTGCAAATATAGATTAAAATCAATATCGACACACTGAGTTTTCATTACATATAAGAGCTAGAGATAAAAGATATGGGTTGTAGATAATCTAAGAGCGTGCACAGATCCCAAATATCTTTTTTTTTTTGAATACCTCATTACTTTCCGCCCAAAAGTTTGGTCTTAAAGGTCATTAACACATTATTTATTTGCCATTAAATATTTCATTCAGATCGGACAATAAACACCGAAGCACTCAAGAGGGTATTTATGTGCGAGTTAGTAGCGAGAAGTTCAGGGTATCTCCCAGTCAGGCACATGTTCAGAACTTTATCCATGTACATCATAGTGTGTGGAAGCACAAGGCAACTGGGTGTAGGCCAAGTGAAATCTCCGCCACTGACTACGAGACGCCTCAAAGTTTGAACTCCAGCAGTAGCCTACAACAGAAGACCTGCCTGATATGCAAGAAATCGAGTAGTTGAAGTACTTGGCTCCCTCAGACTGGAGAATAATGGATTTTATGGGTCGCAGTACAGAAATCCCCGGCATAATAATAATAAGCACACACATAATATAGTTGAATAATGACCTGCATTTTTCTTCAGCACATTTAAAAACGATTAAGCATTATCTCGCCGCCGTTTTTATGAATTATTTTTCTGTGTGCTCTTTGACCAATCTTTTTTTTTTTAATTTTTTTCGTGGTATTTCAATTCATCGATGATTTCTATTTGTAACCGCGATTCAAGGTCAGAGCGTAATAAAAAAAATTGATAAATTTTAAATGCCGCTGCAGTTTTTCGAACCAAAACTATGGCGAATAGCAATTTGGTTATTGTCTGCCAGTTGGGCTCCAAAGAAATGAGTGTGAGTGTGTGTGCTGCTAATTATCATTTTTGTATAATTAATTTAAATTATAACTTAGTGTCTGGTAGTTGATTTGAGAATTGGCAACGGACGAACTGGCTGATCCGTTCGATGCGGTTGCGCAAAGACACACAGCGTTTTTTTTTTATTTGGCTGACAGAACGAAAGACTCAGGCAACGAACTTGTTTGGGCCGCTGCCTGCGCGGCCTATTGCATACATTACAAAACAAAACAAAATTTGCCACTCAATCAACAGCAGCGACAACAACTACAACCACTGCAACAACAATAACAACGGCGCAACGCACACAAATTGCTTTAATTGCAACAAATTTTTAGCGAGCAGCACTCGGTATCAACTTGAAGTCGCGTGGAGCTCGCATGTGGGCAATGCCTATGGAGATTGCTGGCGAGAGACTCGCCAGCTTGGCGACTTTGGCTGCGAAATACGTCAACAATTGTTAGAGTCAAGCACCCGCAACTAGAAATATGCCCAGTCCTCAAGTGTCCAACTCCAACTCTCAAAACTGCAGCAAAACAACTCCAACTGCGACTTCGACTCCCCAACAATCCGACTCGGTCTTAGAGAGACGATTAAGTTTATGTTTTTTGCAGGCTGTTTGCAGCTTGCGCTTTCGGTTTGGGCGTGATTCTCCGAATCCGGTTGCAACTGAGGTGGTCGACGCTTCTGGACTTCTAGACTGTGGCTTGTGCACTTATAGACCGGATCTAATGCGAAACGAGTCGCAATATACGAGTGCAACAGTTGCATGGCTCTGCATAATTAAATGAAAAGGAAACGAACAATATGGCAAAACTCTAATAACAATACCAACAGCAGCAACAACAACAACAACAACTCGGAACAACAAACGGCAAAAGTTTGCACAAATTTGTAATTGTCATCGTGTGGTCTCGTTGTCTGATTGTCCGACCGTCCGGCTGTCTGCCAGAAACCAGCACAAGACACTGGCCAGCTAAACGGCACCGTGGTTGTAGAGTCATGTATGTGAATGTATGTGAGGCAGGTAAACAACGATAAGTGCCGCGTTTAATGGAAATCTGAAATCAAGATGAACATAAACATAACAAAACCTAACAAGTCTGCTCTGTCTTAGAGAGCAGATGCCCGCTCGAATCATGTCTCAAGATATTTGTAGTAGAACTAGTCAAAAGGCTGGTAGAAAGTGAAGCCAATTCCTGGCTGAATTGCTAAGGCATAACTGGACTTGCTTAGCACTAGCGATTTCTTAAAAATATTTAATAAAATCAGAACCTTTTTTAAATTAAATGTGATTATTTCTTACTTAAATCTATTGAGCTATTCCTACTAAGAAGATGTTATTTTAAATATATGTATATGTAAATTGTTTAATAAGTACTTTTCATCTGTTTCTTTTAAAATTATTTTTAGATAAATACCTAACCTGAGGAACTTCTAACTGCGTAGCGCATTAAAAAGTGCTAGAAATTGGGAAAGATTAGAAAACTTTTCTGACTATTTGTATATTAATTTTCTTCTACTCCTTTCAATAAATTACAAATGGTGAATTTTTTAGTTTATTTATGAAATTTCTGTAAAATGGATTCTTTGATATGTTTCAATTACGAAGTTATTAGATCGAACCCCCTTGAAGATTAAATATATTTATTTAACATTAAATAAGAGAATGTTTGTGTTCATATAAAATAAATTAAACAGAAGTTTTTGTTTTCTGCAATTGAGGCAATGTTAAAAAAATTGTCTAACTTTCACTTTTGAGAATATATCGAATCTTGGAACTCCTTCAAAGCTAAACGTATATATGCCAAATTCTACAAATTATTCACAAATATTCACATTTAATAATTCCTCGCCCACTTGGCAATTTTAACGCTCTGGCGCGCAATCATCAATCAAAAGCAAACAAATCTTGAGATTATCAAGGCAAATTTTCCATGGCTGACCGAAAATTCAATTAATTGGCCACAGTGTGCACACTGGTTAACAAAGTCGTAATCAGATCGTGCTCTAATTCAGGCAGCTTTTATGGTGTTCGTTGTGTTTGTTGTAGCTCCGAAAATTCAATGAGAGCTGCAGCTGTTGCAGCCGTCACAGTAAGTAGTTGTTGCTGTTGTTGTTGCAGTTGTTGTCGCGACTGTTAGTGATCCGTTACACGTTGCTGTTGCTGTTGCCGTCGTGCTAACCTTGAGATGATTACTTCAATTTTGTAAGTACACGCTGGCCAGCCATGCAGAGCACCTGCCCCTAACCCCAACCCAACCCGCCCGCTAAAACCAAAGTCAGAGTCAGAGTCAGCGTCCAAGTTGTAGCCACTAATTCGAGACAATTTATTAAATGAGCCAAATCGGGGCAAGTATAAAAAAAACAGAAACTCATTCCAAAGACAAAAATACGCCATAAACCAAATGAGGCAAATGACAAAATGACGCCCCGTAATGTTTATGGTAATAGCAAATAGGGCGCATACCCATATGATGTGATCATGGCGCCAGCCCATCTCAGCCATCACGAGTACAACCTGCATCTTTATGGCTAATTTGCGCAATCGGTTTTCTTTAATAAGCAAAACGGCCTACAAGGTAATTAAAAGTGTGCGCGGAGTATGCTACGAAATGAAATGAATCATGTGAGAGGCTGTCTAGCGGGCGGCGAGGGTGCAGCCGCTGGAGCACAAGAACACAGAGATTGCATGGCCAGCATAAACAAGCAACAATAACAATAACAACAACGATAACAACAACAATAACAACTGCAACAACAACAACAAATGACGCTTGCAATCTGCGTTACATTATGAGAGGCAACACCTCCGCCCACCAAAATGTGCTTAGAATCCATTGTTTTATAATACCTATATATATATATATATATTTATACAATATATATTGCTAATTTGTTCGTGCCGCAAGTTGTAATTTGTATATATATTTTGTTGTATTTTCAATTTTTGCTAGGTTGCCGCTTTTGAGAGGCCACAGCAATTATATCGTGATGTTTTTCAATCAAAAACTTTAGATTTTCATAGATAAAGCTTAAAATTCATGAATATTTATTTGTAAATTATGCAAAATTTGTTGTTAAAACGTCTTTGATTGGTGATTTAAGCTGATATATAATTAAATTGTTTTATTTGATGAATTCTTACGGTATTTATATTAGATGTGATTTAAGTGAACGCTGAGGGCAGAGCTTTTAATATTCCCTCCGCAAATGTGGAAAATTCGTGGAAAATGTTTGTATTTGCAAAGTTTTTCTATGCTCAAGAATAAAAAAGATTATATAAATTTAATTTTACCAATTCTTAAAGTTGAGCGGAACACTTTTACACTATTTTTGTTTTTACATTAACTATTATTTTAATTTCTAAATTTGGCAGGGCAAAGTTACGATCTACCCGCTGGAAAATATATATGTATTTATATTTATATATGCATATGTATATTCATGTTCAAAGTTAATCTGGCCAAAACTGTAACTTATTGAAAACACATAGAATTTTAGACACCTTTATGCCACAAAAGTCGGCTGCAGTCCACAAAAATGATTAATTTCAGTTAATTTTCATTGCAGCCAAGACACAAACCACAACCGAGCAGCAACAGCAGCAGCAACAACAGCAGCAGCAGCAGCAGCAACAGTGCAAATGGTAACAACAACAATGCGCACGCCAGTTACTTAAATCTAACTGAACTTCACTCTCGTTTTCAGCAAAGGCATAAAATAATTGCCAGACACTCGGCGTTGGCGTCGACGTTGACGTTGGCGCTGCTGCTGCTGCTGTTGTTGTTGTTGTTTTTGTTGCTGTTGTCGCTGCGGCAACTTCTTGGGCTTCACTTGCAAATGGCAATTGTTGTTGCTGCCGTTGCTGCTGCTGCTGCTGCTGCTGTTGACCGCTCGCTCGTTAACTTGGCTCGTTCGGTTTTGTGGTAATCGTGGCTTTTGGCTCGGCCGCTCGGGCGTTGTCTTTGTATATAAAAGCGGCTTCCTTCTTGGTTCTAGTTATCAGTTGAATTCAGCTCAACGTATCGCACACACGCGTCCAACACAACAAACAAAACCAACCCAAAAAAAATCCATTGCAATGGCTTTCTTCAAAGTGAGTGTGCCTTGCTACAGTGCCTGCCAAAAGTGGCCAGCTCTCTGAAATATCAAGTGTACAGTGGTGTCTAACATAATAATCGTGCTCTATTTTTCGTGACAGTCCCTGATCTGCTTGGCTGTCCTGAGCGTTGCCTACGCCGGTGTCCTGCACGGCGGTCCCGCACTCTACGCCGCCGGCCCCGCTCTGGCCTACGCTGGCCATGGACACCCCGATGAGGGTCTGGACTATCATGTAAGTATATGAAGCTGTAGGCCAGGGCCAAATGCCTTGTGCTCAGCTGACATTTGGCTTTTGGCTTGAAGTTTTCCCACGATGCTGACGTCAAGTGTTGTTCTCTCTCATCTTCTTGGCAGGCCTATCCCAAGTACCACTACAACTATGGCGTTGCCGATTCCCACACCGGCGATGTCAAGTCGCAGCATGAGGTGCGCGATGGCGATGTTGTCAAGGGCTCCTACTCCCTGGTCGAGCCTGATGGTTCTGTGCGCACCGTTGAGTACACCGCCGATGATCACAATGGCTTCAATGCTGTCGTGCACAAGAGCGCTCCCACTGTCCACCATGCTGCGCCCGCTGTTGTTGCCCATGCTGCTCCATTGATCTCCCACGCCCCGGCCATTGCTCATCATGTGTCTGCCGCTCCGGCTGTGCCCTATGGTGGCTCGCTGGCGCACCATGCCTCCGCCGTGCCCGCCTACGGCTACGCCACCCACAACGCTCATGCGCATGTGGCCCACTACTAAAAGGAGCATTCCAACTGCCACGCCCACCATCCAACCACCCAACCACACAATCACCATACGCCCACTGTTTCATATTTATTAACGCACGCAACGACCTGATCAATGCGCTTCGATACCATTCCCGGCCTGCTCAATACTCAAGTCAAACACTTTGTAAATAACCGGAAACGGATGCGGACGGTCAGGAGAATCCTCCTGCTCACACATGCGCCGTCTCTGTCTCTCTCTCACACACACATACACACACGCATACACGCATACACATACCAGCTTTCGTGCAATTCTCTATGTAATTTAAACATGCAACTTCTTTTATTGTACATACAACAAAAACACGCCCATCAACAATGCCACGCCCACGAAACCACGAACAACGTCATTGCATAAACGATAGATGATCATGAAGTCGAAGAAAATGAAGAAGAAGAAGAAGACGATGCGGATGTTGATGAATAGAACAACATAATGGAATATACACATACACAAATATAAATTGGGAATATTTATATTTTGTAACATGTCTCATAATTTCTGCCCTAACTATTAAGTTTTTTAATTGAAACTGCGACAAAATGCTATCAATATAAAATGTAGTGAATTACAAAAATCCAATAGCTAGACTTTTACTTTTCAAGCAAATATATAGATATATATTTGTCTGTATAGTACATAATTATTGTTAATTCAAAATAGTTCCCATGCACATTTAATTTATGCGCCTTCAATTAACTTTTAATTGTTCATCATTTACGATAATTGTTGCATTTCATATTGACTCAACTGAGTTATGCAAATGATTTCTTGGCCAATGCAAAGTTCATGATTGACAATTATGGGCTAGCTAATTTGTGGGCGGCTATCGAAAGGTGAAGGTAGCTCCACATACATCTATATTAAAAAAACCCAACATGTATTAATAATAACTAACTGAAAGTCAGAATTAATTTTAATGCACAACTCGATTGCGGTCTAAATTATTATTAACAAGCCAGACGGCAAGCCGGATCAAAGGTAAATCGGTTGAAGCCCGGCATATCCAACCTGAACCGTAACGGGTTAATTGTAAGAAGCAGAGCTGTACCAAAATCAAAGTCATGCATAGCATATTTTGTAAAAAAGGCAAACCTTTTTTTTTTATTTTATACTTGAAAATATAATTGCAATATTTAGTAGTTTCTCACATTGCACTCGTGATAGTTGTGACAGATCTGAATATGAAGTATTCATTCAATTTTAGTTAAACAAAATATGTGAAAATAAGTTAAATTTATATTAAATTCAATGATTTCCATTGTAAGTTCTCAAATGCATGTTGATAACATTTTGTTTATTTATTTCATCTGAATTGGAGTTATCATACAAATCCGTAGTATTAATTCCTGCAAAAGCTCAGTATTCGACCAACAGTCACCCATATACGATATAGCCTTCTGATCCGCTCGATTCCAGGCAACATTTCATTGAGATTTAAGCTACATGTTTACCATAAAGATAGCCGAACTTTACTATGATCATGGGTATATACTTTATGGAATATATACTTTCGTTATGCCTTGCATACCCTTAAACAATATAAGCGATTAAATAAAGCAAAGCTTATGAACCGCTCAGACTAACAGAAATATTGGTATAAGATTGTCAGTTCTTCAAATGTAATTGCTAAAACAAAATCAAATTCCATTCAGTTATTCTTTTATGTCAAGGCTTAACCGCTTTTTATTTTTTGAACTAACACAGTTTTTAACACTAATTTTAAGAGTCTTGTCTTTCACATATATGCCTGAGATATATATTTATTTTACCTAAATTTCATCAACTAAAGCCATGATTTTAACTCTTAAATAAGCCTTTGCTATTTTTAGTTGGCTATTGATGCCGATAGATGGCGTGTGGTGGCATTAGATGACGTTAGATATGCAATTTTAATATCTTGTCTACTTTTTGGCTGACAAACCTTTAACTTTTGCCACCATCTACTTTTAGGCTTAAGCTTGTCTTTAATACTTAATTTATGCGTATCTCTTGCGTATACCATGACCATACATTAATTTAAATTTAATATTTTCTTTAAATTTATTTGATTTAAATTTAAAGCAAACGTAAATTTAATTAAGTTAACCTGAAGTTGCCTAGTTTTTCTATTGTTGCCCACTTTGTCAAAGTGAAATTAATGATTTATGAATTAATGTCGCTTTTTCCTTTTCTATGGCCTATTCAACCACAAGGTCAAAACCACTCTGGCACTTCCACTTCCGATACAGCTGCATTTAATAGGATGAAACCACAGCATCTCGTGTTTCATACCATGCCCATTAAGCCCTTAAACACTTAAGCCCTCCGTTAACCACAGCCAAACGGAAGCCAGTTGTCCTCTGCCTCCGTTCGGGGGCGTGCCGTCATGTAAATAATATTATTTATAAGCATTTAACAAAATATATATCTGCGAAGTTGTTGCTTCCGCCTGCTACAAATCTTCGCATTTCCGTCACTTTTATGTGTGAACTGCCACAACAAAACAACAACAACAACACGAGGAGGGCGACATATTGATCTGTTAATGGACGCGTCGTGTAGATATTTGGACAAATGTGTGTGCCACAGAAGAAAAACAAATGCTTCAAAACTGGCTCAAAAATACGAATTTATCATTGCCCGAAAATCAAAAATCAGCGAAGCGCTTAAATGTGCGCCAAAATAAGACAATACAATGAACAAAAATAATACTAAAACCTAAATAGACTTTTACGTGCACTCCATTAATTAGATCTAGTCAGAAACTTGACTTGGGCCAGCAGCTGCTGCCCTGCGGCCGGGCTCTTTAACAGTTAAGGTCATCTGTTAAACTAGTTAAGTTTTCTGATATGCACTGGGAAATGCCGGAAGGAAGTTCCGCTAGCTGGCAATACCAACGCCCCAGCATTACGTGTTGGCCCCAAAAAGCTCACGTAAACTCGGCTCAATGTCTGCCCGGTGACTGGCAAGAATCAAAACAAAAACCAAAACGAAAATAAAAACCAGTAGTTGCTGCTCCAATAACCTTTTCGCAGGCACATTTCAACTGTAGCAAAAAGATGCGAGCAAAATATCAGGTATGCGACAGACTGGCAATCTTCTTCATCAATAAATGACAGTTGCTAACGACTTTTTGTTGCACTTGGCCAATTGATTCAAGTAGTTGACATTCAAGTCACTTGCCCCCCTTCAACACGTGCTCTTGACTGCATTGGCTTGGATTGGATTTGTTTCGCTTGCCGTGTGTCGGGCAACATTAAGATACAAGTCGCAGATATGCATCGCCGTTGTTGATACAATTTATAGATAATCAAATACAGCGTCGGCTACTGAAATTCTCAGAGTTCTGGCTTAGCTTTTAAAGATGCGTCGTTAGAATTAAATGCACAGTGGTCTGTTTGTATTTATTTGTGATACAAATATCGGATTAAAACACTTGAAATGATTTTGTGTTATTTTGATATAATAATTATTATAAATATAATTATTTTTTATCAATATTTTTATTATTTTTTCTATTATTAGTTTATTATTATGAATTTATAGACTCCAAGCATAAAAACTGTTAATGTGAATATGAGCATGCCTAACAAGCAACGACAGCATTCGATTTTCCAATTCTTCTTTGTGTCGCATTCGTAAACGTTTTTCGGACTATGCTAAATGACTAAGATAACCGAGTTTATAGAATCTGAATACAACTTACAAAAGGCTGCAGATTATTTTCCTCCTTCTAGCTTCATGTGTTAGTTTGTTTAACAATTTAGAGTGTTGTAAAATGTTCACCAGTGCTGTACAGCTGTTAAAAATGTCTTTATTATAGTCTGTAAGTGTTGTCAGCCGCATTATTTACTTTTAACTCTTCATATCTAGCCCAGTTGATGCCATATGTTGCATTTGGAATGTGTCTCATATATCCTCACCAGCCCATTTTCGAGCCACTGTGGCATGTAAATGTCGCCGCCTGTCTGCATAATTGAAAAGCGCTATTAATAATTAACAAATGCCCAGCAACAACTGAACAACCGAGCAACTGGGCAGACATAATTAGAGGTATAAGCGATTTCAGTCTTGCCGCGCATAAATAAACATTTCAACAGCACGTAATGTGGATTCACTGGAGGAGGCTGGCAGAGATGTGTATCATGGCTTTGGCATAATCATCCCAGTAGTTATGCATGCCGCCTGTCAGCGTCAATTATATAACAAAGTTAACTGGATTATTTGAGGGCTAATTTGATGCATGGCAGGTAGCAGCAGCAGAAGCAGCAGCAGCAACAGCTCAGCAGCCTGCAACAAATTGGCCAAAAAGGTGCGAGAATTCATTTCCATCTCTCTCTGGAGTACACGCTAACAACTGAAAATTTATAGCAGTTCCTCGGGCTTGGAAGCCATTAATTTGCATTTTATTACAGCGACCGCATTTGCCACGGGTCATTTTCATGGCGCGTTACAAAGCTCTTGTTAACAATGGTCAGTCAATTGGCCCGGACACAGATGCGGCAGTGCCGGACGCACTGAAGCATGCCCAACTAAGCGACAACAATGATGCCCACCCACCCACACCCAAACAGACCAGGTCTCCCTGCCTCTCTTTCTCTCTCTCTCTCTCTCTTTCCCTCTCTGGTCTGGCTTGCAACATTCGCACCTTGAAGTCGTCTCGTGTTGCAAGCGACAATGGGGTACATTGGCCAGTTCCCCCAGCAATGCTCATTGTCCATTGTCAAATTAGTCTGTGTAAACATGCAGAAATTAGGTGACCAGCAGACGCCAAAAGTGCCAAAAGTAAACCAAGTCAAAGTCGCCATCATCGTCATCGTCACTAAAAATAGCCAAGCTTTAATTCAAGCTGCCTTGGCCAGATCCCAGCCACAATACCCCCGGCCCCTCTGCCTAGCCCAGTTCGCTGTGGACTTGAATGTACGACTTCAGGGGCGTTGGCACATCTTGAATTGCATTTGAGTCCATTTGCGCGAAATGGGCTTGCAAATGTGCGCCTTTCAGGGCTCAATTAGATATATAAATATTGATGACAGAAACTATTAAAAAAAACCTAACCATGTGAACAAAATATGTTCATAGTTGCGAAAAAAATGATATTTATGAAAAATATATATATTTGAGAAAATTATTTATAATAGAAAAACGAACAAAATCTTTTAAAAAATATCTTTATTGAATGTTTCAATATTCAGATAATTAGCTACACCTTATTATTTGCTTAGAATTGTTTACATAAGAATCTTAAGCTAGACTTATTGTATTATTTTTAAAATAAACTTATTACAGATTTTAATATTAATCTTTTTCAATTTATAACACAACTCTTTTCTTAAATTTCTGTTTATGGTGTTGCATTTAAATTGTTCCTTATATTTGCTTCATACTGTCTTATATATTGCCTTTCCCTTTCCCATAGAATTTGTAACTTTGAGTTTCTTGTATTTTAATATAAATGAGTTTTGTATTATTATACTATTATACACGATATTCATATTATTCATATTCTCTTTCGTTTTATTTTATTATACTCCTCTCGATGTTCTTTTAACTACTTTAATTTAATTAAATAATTTTTCAGCTAATTTTTGCGTAACTATTCTTTTCAGATTTCAACCGAATAACTTTACAACTAGTAATAATTTTTTTTTTATTATTTATGTTTTGTTCTGTTCTTGCTCCGAGCCCATAGAATAACATGTGTAATATATCATATTTTTACGATCCACTTAATTATGTTACTTAAAGCTCAGTAAAATTTATGTTGTGCTTTTTTTTTGGCAAACATAATATAAAATTCCACTCCCAGATGCCACGCTTTGTCGTTAACATGATGGCAAGCTGCACGCTACATTTAACAGCAACACATTTGTGTATTTATTCTGATAGTTTAGCGTGCACGTTAGTTTCTTTATTCTGGTAGTTAGTTATATTTATTGTTGTTTAATTGCCAGCATTTGTTAGGGGTAACACAATGCAAGCTGAAGCCACGCACATGTGCTGCCGCTTGCCTAAAAATCTGTCAAGCTGCATATGGAAAACCTTCGGAAAATGCCGACAATCGCTTGCCGATTTTCCCAGTCGCTTACGCCGAGTCTTGTGAGACTTCAGACTTGTGTCTTGGGCATCGAGTTATCATGTCTGCGTAGCAAATGCTTTGGCGGCGCTCGCGAACATGCAAATTGACTTAATCTAGTATTTAGTTTTATTTTTTTTCTTTCTGCCGACAAACCGCAGTCCGAAGTCGCATTGGAAATATAAAACCTCGGCTAAGGGGGGAAAATAAACATAAAAAAAAAAAACCAAAGACGGAGGCGGAGATGTAGACAATTGTATGCAAGTGCTGAAGGTTGTTCGCCTGCCTTCTTTTAGTTTTTACTTGTTTTTTTTTTTTTTTTTTTGGGTACTTTCGGTTGCTTTTGGCGCACTTCTCGGCATATGTAGCTCGCTCTAATTAGAGTCTTTAGTACGCCCCTCGTTTTTAATTATGTGAAAATGCGCAGCCTCACAAATGCTGACCCGGGCATAAACTAGCGCATATTATTAACTTGTGTAAAGGCCCGCACAAATTGTTTTGACTCTGTTTTTCTTCTTTTTTTTTTTACTTTTGACACTTGCGGTTTGTCAATATTTCTAATAATTTTGTTAGCTGCCAACCTCAATTGGCACGTTCTCGACGTGGTTCAAGGATGAGCACAGCTTTAGACTACAACTTGAAACTGTCGCAGCTATCTTAAAGCTCTTTGGCTGCTTTGTTGAGCTCCGCAAACAGATAAATCACTTACTTAAAAAGCATATGTATTCCTGATCGGTTTCTTTGATATAAAGTCTCTCTAGCTAACACATGCACTCCATAACGACAAATTACTTAATTAACAATTTGCGCTAAATATACATAACATATATTAAGTACTAGCCAAGAAAATGTTGCCATCTGCGTACCTAAGTTAGTTAGTGGGGAGTAATATATACCCTTTTAGTGGGTATTTTAGTTGTGTGATGGAATGTGATATTACACTTTTAACTATAAGTTATTATATAAACTGGGCTGGAAGGAGAACTTTGTATGCTATACAATATATTTTGCCACCTTCTCCTGCATATAATTCTTCTATGCCCATATATCTATCAATAATGCTGCGCAAGCAAAATGCATTAAAAATAGAGTATACATTCTTTAGCATATTTCGGCCACAATTGTTTCCATTTTAATTAGTTCAATTTATTACGTACAGTACCCGTGGGAACCATAAGCTTAAAGAACGCCAAATGCTTGAAATTTAATTAGAAATCCTGCGCTTGTACCTGGAAAGCACTTGGGCGTTTTTTATGTGGTCTAAAAGGTTTTTTAATATGTTTGTGTCTCAAAGTTGCGTGAACTGCGTCTTATTCTGAGTGTGCATGAAAATTGGCGCGCGCTCAATTAATCATTGATTGTTGCGAATTGAACAACTGAGAACTGGACAATAACTAGTCAGCAATATTATTATAGATATAAATTAGTTTAAATTGCCCTGGTGTCATATCTTTTTTATATTCATTTTTTTGCATGCCGCCAGCAACTTTTGCTTTCATTTGCTGCCTAGAATGGAACTCAGATTTGAACTTTGCTGCCGCGCTTGACCTTCAGCATTGATGGCTAAGACAAAAAAACTGCTAGAACTAGCTGGTAGCTGGTACGTACTTCAGTTGGACTTTTGGCTGCCTTGTTGTTTTCATTCAAGTAGATCACTGAGAATTTCGCATGTGCCAAATAACTAGGGCTTTTTGTTTATGCAACGACAATTTGCAATTGTTTTTGTCTAGTTTTTCGTTTTAAGCTGCAACTTGACCCTATTTTGGTTAGGATATTCGAGATATATTTTATTGTCAGCGTTTTTTTTTCCTTCTTAGAATTAAGTTGTTAAATAAATTGCTTTTAATTGGCCACTATTTGTTATGGTCTAGGGCAATAATTATTGCGCATAATTCGCGTACTCTGCTGCAGTTCGTTGCCTAAGTCTTTCGTTTCAACCGGACGAAATTAATGATTAAGCTATGATTAATGACATAATTCTGATTCGATCAAAAAGTGATTGCCACTGCGGATGACTTCATTATGTTGTGTGGGATAAAGCCAGAAGATATACAATGCAGCCGCTCTCAATCCGTAACTGGATCTGTCGCCAATTTGCACTGCTTCCACACATACCACCCCGACCCCATTTGGCGGGCTAGTGTAGCAACATCCCGATTCATGCTGCAACTTCATTCACATGGCCCCCACCAAGCGGCAGCAGCAGCAGCCACTACTCACCACGCCAGAGATGTTGGCGTCTCAGTCGACGTCTCCGTCTCCGTCTCCGCCTGCGTCGCCCGCCACAGTTGACTGACTGAGAAACCCAGCGTCTTGTAGTCGCTGCTGCGCTGCTGCGCGGCTGCGTCGCTGCTTTCGCACATTTTGCGCTTATTTAAATGGAAACTCGGCTCAAGAATAGCCACAGTATTCCGGTGAACTTGGCGTTGTTTGTATCTGTTGCCGTTGTAGTACTAAAAGTAAATCCAATTGTTAACTCCATCAAGGATCTGTGCAAAGTGCTTACAATATTCATAAATATCTTTTGTGTTGTTGTTTATTTTTAGCAAATTATAAAATCAAATTTATTTGAAAATACGCAAAAATAAATTAATCAAGAAAATGGCAAAGTTCATGTGCTTCGTTATCCTCTCGTTGGCTTTGTTCGCCAGTGTGGCCGTGGCGCGTCCAGGATATGCTGTGGATTATTATGTGAGTTCCAGAGCTTCCAGTAGGGCTGTGCTAGCTAAAACAAGAGTTCATTGCTCATAAAATTTGTGATAAAAGCAAGAACTTCATGTAAACGAAATATAAAACTTATATATAACTTTTTTATTTCAATGATAAAAGTCAAATTAATATTATCACAAACTCAAAATCTAACATGCACAGGCTACTTTGGCTTAAGATATCTGAAGATGCCTTACTCTGCTGATGCCTTATTTAGCAAAGTTCTATATATTTCCTTTTGTTTTATTCAACAGGATCATCCCAAATATGCCTTTAACTATGGCGTAGCCGATCACACGACCGGCGATGTCAAATCACAGCATGAAACTCGTGATGGCGATGTTGTCAAGGGTAAATATTACATATAGCACATACGCAAAAAGAAAAACAACTAAGAGTGTTTAGATCGGTTGTGTTCGACTAGGAGATACCCTGAGCCGTGTGCGGAGCTACCTTTTTAAACAACCAAGATGCCTTTTATACATACATAAACAATATTCCTATGAGAATTTCATAAGTGTGGCCACGAATCGCTTGTGTTAAATCACAGGGCCTTACATTTAAAAATTAGCTGTTTCTTCCCCCGCTTAAATGTAAAGACATCCGATAATTGAATTATATTACATTTTTATATGGTATACGGCAAGCTACATGCTAAATTTGGTATTATTATACATAGAAAAATTAGATAAACCTTTTCTCCATGCTTAAAATTTCAAGTTTCTAGATTTATGCCTCTTAATACCGATATGTTTACTCAAACGGACAGACAGACAGACAGACACGGCTAGATGGACCTGGTCGTCCTGTTACATACATTTCCATAAAAACATTTGCCCCTTGTTTCTCAATTCTCAGGGTAGAAACATGGGTATATATTTTATTATATATGTAAACTACTACTACACAATTTACAGGGTATAAACATGGCTATATCAAATATTATAACACTAATTTTAAATAATTTTCAGGGCTTAATAATTATCTTAACTAATAAGTATGTCTTCTCTGTCTTACCCCCATGCAGGTCAATACTCTCTGGTCGAGCCCGATGGCTCCATTCGCACTGTTGACTACACTGCTGATTCCATTCATGGCTTCAACGCTGTTGTCACCAAATCTGGACCCACTGTGCACGCCCAGTCGCTGGTCACGAAGCCCATCATTGCACACAAGCCAATTTTGACCCACTACGAACCACATGTAGCTCCTGTGGCCGCGCCTGTTGTCGTTGCCTCGCCAGCGCCCTATGGTGAGAAGTATATCTAATCTAATATCATGTTAGCTATACCGGGTTGAATAGTTAATGGAATAGCACTCCAATTGTTTAGCAGCCCCACCAAATATAGACGCACTTCCAGCTAGTTGTTGTGGTAGCACACTTTGTAGATCTGCCACACACACACTGATTTGCTGCTCTTGCTCTTCTAGGCATGAACACGTATCGCATGCTCAAGCTGTTCAGGCGTCACGCCAACTATTTTAACAATCAATATCGCAAATTGCGCCCAGACGAATATGATGACATCGTTGATGTAGTTAGACAGACAGCGACGGCGGAGGCTGCAACAGATGCCGATTACTATGCAGTCTACTGAATATCCGTATATCAGTTCTCAGTGTATATATAAGTTAACCATATATCTATTATAATACATAATCGTTTTAGTTCGCTTCGCATTGCATACCAATCAGATTGAGAGCGTGTGCAGTGAGGCTTGTAAACTGAATCATCGCATCGTGAAATGTATAACATTTCATAAGCCGGCATTTGTGTTGAGTAATGCAGTAGTTGGCACGCCCACGCGTTTGTTAATTATGTCATGAGTTCGAGTTTTCCTCAACATTGATCAAGAGATTAGCTTGGTTTTTTGCCCAAGTTTTGTATGCATTTTGCATTCGCTCTCATATTTTCCATAGTTTTCCCACATTAATTATGTCATATTGTGCAGCAGCAACAGCAACAGCCGCAGCGCATCAACTTTTGATGCAGGCAGAAAAGCTGTGCGGAAAATTATGTTGCCCATTTCATTCCGAAGCCAAAAGCCAACATCTTTTCTCAATGTCGCAATGTGGATTTGCATGGGAAATGCTGTTGCTTTGTTGTTGCTGTTGTTGTTATGACTGCATGTGAAAATTATTTTGATTGTGGCTGCCGTTTTAATAATTAAGAATCGCAAGAAGCGCGCGCGTACAAACACTTTGCCAAAACAAAAGACTTAGGCAACGAACTTCGTCAGCGTTTTACATGCAAAATGCCCGAAAGGAAATTACAACAACTAGCAAGAAAAAATAACAACAACACCTGTGACCAATTGACTTTGGTGCCTACAAATTCGTGACAAGCAAAGAAAATTATTTCGTCAGCATTGAAATACGCTCAACTGAACTAGTTTTAGAGACAGCTGCTGCTGCTGAACCTAGCTTTTATTTTTCTGTTGACTCACTTCAAAGCAAACAAATTTAGGGTCCCACAATTTTGGTTTAATAATATTTATATATTATATTGTTTTGTTATTATTTATAGTCGCCAAACACTATGCGCCCGCTGCCGCGCCCATTCACTATGACTACGATGATGGCTACTACAACCAGGCACAATACGAGTACGTGCCCCAATATGATGCTGGACACTATGGACACTACTCGAGTCCCTATGCGACACACTATTAAGTACCTTAAACTAGCAACGAGAAACATATGCGATTTAGTGCTCTAAGCGGAATTTAGTTTGTATATTTTTGAAAAAAAAAAACATGGGAAATCGAAACCTACTTAGTTTGGATATACGAGTGCATAAGTCGACCCGGTTACAGTTGTGCGTTTGCAAAACTCTCGTTTTGAAATACATACACTCTCTCAACCCTACTCCACACACACACACACACACACACGCATACACTGACACTGAAGCTGAGTAAGATAATAATGATATATGGATGCTAATTTAAGTTGTGAATTTCTTCTGTAAAATAAAGTTTCAACAACCTAAGTGAACTTATAAAAAAAATGGCTTAAAGAATTCGTTTATTTTGTTCGCAATGCAATGTTTGGCATTAAGAGAGTTTAGCTCAACTCTAGTCTACATTAATAACTTCCTTTATAGCCTTATAATTTATTAATTTATTCAATCAGCTCTCTTTCTTGCGTTTATTTTCATATGTGTGTATACAAAATATTATTTACTGACTTTATATTTTTATTTATTCCAACAGGCGTCGCATAAAATAGATAAATGTAACTGCTTTGATTTCCATTCAGTTCACATGTCGTCTTAATGATTTTCATAGGCTATAACAATAATTCATTTATTCATAATTACAGAAGGCACTTGAAATCGCATCTGTTGCCATTTGTGTAAATAATCTCAATGTGGGCTCTTTCTTTTTATGGCAACAGTTGCATCCATTACATGTTAAATATATGCCACATTTTAAATGCACATTTAATGTTGGCGTTATAATTTACTTTTATGCATAATACTTTTGCATTTTATTGCTGTAACATTTCATGGCCAATTGAGCGTTTAGTTTGATTTGCGGCAACATTTGGACTGAACATTGAAACAAATGGCAATTGTTCCAGATATTCGCTCTTTAACTAAAATATATATCCAATTGAATTTCGACAACGAAAAAACTCTTCACGGTCTGCCAATTAGCAACTGCTGTCTTATATAAGTTTTTGCATTTCTGATAGTTTGCTTGGACCATTTGTATATTTTAATTGGCTCACAAAAGCTTTCTTCCGGTTGCATGCATTGAACATGCTCCCAAGAGTTGCAGCCAGTTAAAGCTTGGATTGTAGGAGAAAAGCTTTCTTGGCTTAAAGCTTGCCTGAACTTGGGCCAATTGTTTTGTGATCAGGGTAAAAGGGGCTGGACTTATATTAAATCTGAATGAAACAAACCTTTCATGAAGAAATCACCAGGCTTAACTTTCTAGTCATACTAGTGACTTTCTAGTCATACTAGTTATAAGTTTGTATTTTTTTTATGCAAAGCAATTATTTAATCAGTACGCACAAGAGTATGCAGTACAATTTTGAATTCTTGACAACGTCAAAGTATGCCACAAAAAGACAATAGTTGGCAACAAATGTTTGGAGCAACAGCAAAATTGCATTAAACAAAAATAAGTGTCTTTCAAGCCAAGGTTCTCAGACTAAGATAGACTGGAGCACCTTTGTACATCCGCAACCGGTCCCTGGTAAGGAATCTAAAGATTCCTTTGGTGGGAAATCTTCTACGACAGCAGTCCAGCAGCTGCGTGACCCACCTCTCTGCTTACCTTAATTTACTGGCAAGAAGTCCTCGCAGTATCCGACCCTCCAATCTGCCAAGCCAGGTAATTAGATAGATATAAGTTACAAACAAACTATAAAAGCCACGTACAAGAAATTAAAATTATTGTTAACTTATTTAATCCCTTTATTGTACAGCTACGTAAGCATATAAATAGAAAAGAAATAACATGTCGACAAGTAATATTTTAAAAGACTTTACAAACGAATAATTTTTTGGTCAACAACTTTTTTAGGCCATCGATTTTTAATTTCTTTGAATGCCAATTGATAATAGAGATCGGGGTCGTTCCGAAAATCAAAACTTTTTTGATGATTTTGTTTCAATATCTCGGGTAAATACCGTCTGATTTTGAAATGTTATACCTTTTTAAATTCGTACGGATCCATATTATCAATCGGCATTCAAAGAAATGAAAAATCGATGGCCTAAAAAAAATTGTTGACCAAAAAACGATTCGTTTGTAAAATCAACCTTTTTTGATGATTTTTTTGAATATCTCGGCCAAATAATGTCCGATTTTGTTATTTTATACCATTTTCGACTCGTAACGATCAGTACTATCGATTCGCATCAAAAATATTAAAATCTAAATTTTGACCCAAATCGACCAAAAAGCAAGGGGTTACATTACGTTTTTTGTCAAAATCGGGGTCGTTCAGAAAATCAAAACTTTTTTGATGATTTTGTTTCAATATCTCGGGTAAATACCGTCTGATTTTGAAATGTTATACCTTTTTAAATTCGTACGGATCCATATTATCAATTGGCATTCAAAGAAATAAAAAATCGATGGCCTAAAAAAAGTTGTTGACCAAAAAACGATTCGTTTGTAAAATCAACCTTTTTTGATGATTTTTTTGAATATCTCAGCCAAATAATGTCCGATTTTGTTATTTTATACCATTTTCGACTCGTAACGATCAGTACTATCGACTGGCATCAAAAATATTAAAATCTAAATTTTGACCCAAATCGACCAAAAAGCAAGGGGTTACATGACGTTTTTTGTCAAAATCGGGGTCGTTCCGAAAATCAAAACTTTTTTGATGATTTTGTTTCGATATCTCGGGTAAATACCGTCTGATTTTGAAATGTTATACCTTTTTAAATTCGTACGGATCCATATTATCAATTGGCATTCAAAGAAATTAAAAATCGATGGCCTAAAAAAAGTTGTTGACCAAAAAACGATTCGTTTGTAAAATCAACCTTTTTTGATGATTTTTTTGAAATTCTCGGCCAAATAAAGTCCGATTTTGTTATTTTATACCATTTTCGACTCGTAACGATCAGTACTATCGATTGGCATCAAAAATATTAATATCTAAATTTTGACCCAAATCGACCAAAAAGCAAGGGGTTACATGACGTTTTTTGTCAAAATCGGGGTCGTTCCGAAAATCAAAACTTTTTTGATGATTTTGTTTCAATATCTCGGGTAAATACCGTCTGAATTTGAAATGTTATACCTTTTTAAATTCGTACGGATCCATATTATCAATTGGCATTCAAAGAAATGAAAAATCGATGGCCTAAAAAAAGTTGTTGACCAAAAAACGATTCGTTTGTAAAATCAACCGTTTTTGATGATTTTTTTGAATATCTCGGCCAAATAATGTCCGATTTTGTTATTTTATACCATTTTCGACTCGTAACGATCAGTACTATCGACTGGCATCAAAAATATTAAAATCTAAATTTTGACCCAAATCGACCAAAAAGCAAGGGGTTACATGACGTTTTTTGCCAAAATCGGGGTCGTTCCGAAAATCAAAACTTTTTTGATGATTTTGTTTCAATATCTCGGGTAAATACCGTCTGAATTTGAAATGTTATACCTTTTTAAATTCGTACGGATCCATATTATCAATTGGCATTCAAAGAAATGAAAAATCGATGGCCTAAAAAAAGTTGTTGACCAAAAAACGATTCGTTTGTAAAATCAACCTTTTTTGATGATTTTTTTGAATATCTCGGCCAAATAATGTCCGATTTTGTTATTTTATACCATTTTCGACTCGTAACGATCAGTACTATCGACTGGCATCAAAAATATTAAAATCTAAATTTTGACCCAAATCGACCAAAAAGCAAGGGGTTACATCACGTTTTTTGTCAAAATCGGGGTCGTTCCGAAAATCAAAACTTTTTTGATGATTTTGTTTCAATATCTCGGGTAAATACCGTCTGATTTTGAAATGTTATACCTTTTTAAATTCGTACGGATCCATATTATCAATTGGCATTCAAAGAAATTAAAAATCGATGGCCTAAAAAAAGTTGTTGACCAAAAAACGATTCGTTTGTAAAGTCAACCTTTTTTGATGATTTTTTTGAATATCTCGGCCAAATAATGTCCGATTTTGTTATTTTATACCATTTTCGACTCGTAACGATCAGTACTATCGATTGGCATCAAAAATATTAAAATCTAAATTTTGACCCAAATCGACCAAAAAGCAAGGGGTTACATCACGTTTTTTGTCAAAATCGGGGTCGTTCCGAAAATCAAAACTTTTTTGATGATTTTGTTTTAATATCTCGGGTAAATACCGTCTGATTTTGAAATGTTATGCCTTTTTAAATTCGTACGGACCCATATTATCAATTGGCATTCAAAGAAATGAAAAATCGATGGCCTAAAAAAAGTTGTTGACCAAAAAACGATTCGTTTGTAAAAGTCAACCTTTTTTGATGATTTTTTTGAATATCTCGGCCAAATAATGTCCGATTTTGTTATTTTATACCATTTTCGACTCGTAACGATCAGTACTATCGATTGGCATCAAAAATATTAAAATCTAAATTTTGACCCAAATCGACCAAAAAGCAAGGGGTTACATCACGTTTTTTGTCAAAATCGGGGTCGTTCCGAAAATCAAAACTTTTTTGATGATTTTGTTTTAATATCTCGGGTAAATACCGTCTGATTTTGAAATGTTATACCTTTTTAAATTCGTACGGATCCATATTATCAATTGGCATTCAAAGAAATTAAAAATCGATGGCCTAAAAAAAGTTGTTGACCAAAAAACGATTCGTTTGTAAAATCAACCTTTTTTGATGATTTTTTTGAATATCTCGGCCAAATAAAGTCCGATTTTGTTATTTTATACCATTTTCGACTCGTAACGATCAGTACTATCGATTGGCATCAAAAATATTAAAATCTAAATTTTGACCCAAATCGACCAAAAAGCAAGGGGTTACATCACGTTTTTTGTCAAAATCGGGGTCGTTCCGAAAATCAAAACTTTTTTGATGATTTTGTTTCAATATCTCGGGTAAATACCGTCTGATTTTGAAATGTTATGCCTTTTTAAATTCGTACGGACCCATATTATCAATTGGCATTCAAAGAAATGAAAAATCGATGGCCTAAAAAAAGTTGTTGACCAAAAAACGATTCGTTTGTAAAATCAACCTTTTTTGATGATTTTTTTGAATATCTCGGCCAAATAATGTCCGATTTTGTTATTTTATACCATTTTCGACTCGTAACGATCAGTACTATCGATTGGCATCAAAAATATTAAAATCTAAATTTTGACCCAAATCGACCAAAAAGCAAGGGGTTACATCACGTTTTTTGTCAAAATCGGGGTCGTTCCGAAAATCAAAACTTTTTTGATGATTTTGTTTCAATATCTCGGGTAAATACCGTCTGATTTTGAAATGTTATACCT